CGATGAGCAGGTGCACGACGTAGTTCACCACTTTCCCCTCGCAGTACGTCCATGCGTGGGAGTCTCGTCGTCGCCGTGACCGCCGCCCGTGCTGTCATCGCTACTGTACTCGTGGTCGTTGTCGTCGTCGTCTTGCTGTGTGCCCCCGCCACCAGTTTTGTCCTCCTTTTCTTGCTTGGCCTGCAGCAGTGCATGCGAGAAGACACAACAACGTGGCGTATACGCCATGAACGGGGGCAAGAGGAACGCCGGGGAGTTGGNAAAAAAAAACGCCATTTCCAACCACCGAAACAACACACAGGTGGTTCGCCCTCAAGGGTCACGCTGCATGCACTACAGCGGTCGAGAAAAAAACACGCCATCTCCAACCACCGAAACAACACACCACAGGTGGTTCGCCCTCAAGGGTCACGCTGCATGCACCACAACGGTCGAGAAAAACAAAACGCCATCTCCAACCACCGAAACAACACACAGGTGGTTCGCACTCAGGGGTCACGCTGCATGTACTTCAACTGTCGAGAAAAAAAAACGCCATCTCCTACAACTGAAACAACACACAGGTGGTTTGCACTCAAGGGTCACGTTGCATGCCCTACATTGGGCGAAAGAAAAAAAAACTAGGCCGTCATAGCCCAGTACAACGCCCACTTACCCGGTAGTTCCTTCTGATGTTCTTCCACTGCTTGTGCATCAACATCGCACCGACATCCTCCGGCTTCACCAGTTCGGCATCCTTGGGAGTTTGCTTGCTGCCGTTGCTCGCGCCCCCCCTGTCGCTGCCGCTGCTGCCGCCGCCCCTCCCATCACTCCCAGGTTTCGTGCTCCCGGTGATCGCAGCCTCTGCCCCGCCCGTGTCCTTCGCCTTCCCTTTCCCTTTCGTCCCCCCCTCAGCTTCCACCCTGTTCCTCTCGTTCGTCGCCTTCGCCACTGCGGTCCAGATAGCAGAATACTTGGCCGCCGGCGCCTTGGCGTCGATGCTCTGCCACTTTTCGACGAGGTCCGCCGGGTCCCCGTTGGCGGTAGAGATCTCCGCCGGGAGTTCGACGTTGGTGCTCGACTCCAAGAAGGCGCGCGCGGCTTCCCGGTACACGTTCTTGCCTGCTCCCTTCTGGTGTGTGAAGTCTGCTACCGACTCCGGGCTCTGCTCGGATGAGAGTGTTTGTTAATCATGGTTTCGCCCATCATGATAATTGCCAGTCGGACCTGGTCCTCTTTCATGAACTTTGGAGTGGCGTCCTTCGCCGCAGACGACGTGGCGATTGCCTCTCGCTCGCATTTTTTGCGCGCGCCTTCCGGGGTAGTTGCCATCATCGTGCGCCATTCCGGCTGCTCCCCCAGGTCGTCCTCGACGTACTTGTCGCGTGACACCAACGCCGCGACAACGCGTCTTTCTTCGCCGTCGAAACCTGCGTGAAGAGACCTCCGGTGCCGCTGCCCCTCGCGATCCGAAGCGTCGTGTCCTTGCCTTCGCTTCGACTTCGCAAGCGGTCCATATGCGCACGGCAGATGATCTGGAAGATAAATGCCGAAACCGAAGGGAAGAAGGGATTCGAAGAAAGGATGGTTTCCATTAGTCGTTGTTTTGTGTCGGCAACAGCGTTTAAAAATTCGAGCGTTTCGACATTGGCTTTACAGTAACCCCGAACATGCATTCTCAAGAGTACGACCAACATCAAACTGGCGGAAACACATGTACGTGGTGCGCGACGCATACTATTTTGAGGTGTAGCGCATCTAAAAAATGCCCATGGGATGAGCCAGACATGCCATATCCCTCCCTCACCCTAACGAATAAATCACGAGGAACACCGTATCTGTATCACGGGTGATGCAGCACATGTGTATGCAGTGCCTACAGCAGTCAGTGGTGGCCATCGTATGGGCTTGTCTACGGCTCCCGAACTTTTTTGTCACTACGTATGCAGACTGCAGGAAATTGACGGTGTCTTCCACACCTCTCGCCCGATTGTTACAACAGCAATACGAGCAAAAACCTTCGCATGGACACGTGGACTAAAAGATTGGTTTTCGTCGACACCTATGGACACGGAAAGCGGTTTGTTTCTGTTCTTCGTGTTTGCTGTCGCGCGGGAAGGTGCCACAGCAGTTCTGAGCATCGCACGCATGTTATGATGCCTTCCGATGTGCTGAAAATAGTTTCTACACGAATGACAGACGGACGCCACCGCGAAAGGTATACAAACCTCCTCTATTCTCAGGAGCGTCTGCTGTTATTTTGTTTACTTGTACGGAACCAACAGCATCCACTCGTCCAACACCAGCAATTCAATGGTTGTACACACCTCGTTTCGGAGTGGCCCCACATGATGGTCCGTGTAGTTTGGAGCGTTGTCTGTGTCCCGCCGAACTTTTGTGGGGGTCCTGGTGTGCTGCGCAAGATACAGCGGC